CCTCACGTCTAGGGAGACTGCGCAGTTTTCTTAGAAGTCTCAATATATTTGCTGGAGTAATCTGTGCCAAGATTGTATGTACATTTGTCCAAAATTTCCCAGTCATGTAAAAGGATTTATGTACTGAACTTTGTACAATTCACTTCTTAAGTGACCCTACCGTTCTCGCGTCCTTAAAACACCAAAACAATACCTCGTGCCCATATCCACTGAAAATTGACTTTTTATTGTCTGTAGATTTATATTGTCTATAGACCTTTAGTTGTAAATAATGCTTTTATATTGTAAAATACGGAACTGTAAAGAGTGTTTGTAAATACATAATTAATGACAGATTTCATAAACATGATTCTAGCTTTACTCTATATACTTTTAGTTGTAAATAATGCTTTTATGTTGCAGAATACGGAACTGCAAATAGCTGTTTGTAAATATTATAATTAACGAGGATTTCATAAACATAATTCTAACTCTACGATGCTTTTTGTTTCATTCTATTGTTTATCTAGTATTCTATATTTTTCAGCGCGGTTGGTGATTCTTTCATTAAAGTGGGGAGGGGAAGTTGGATTACTGACCAATAGTCCAGTTTCGAGATCTTATTTGTGCAGCCTTAACCTCAAAAGCATGTAATATGTTCTTTTATTCAACAGAGATCCTTTTGTAACGCAAAAACTCCGTGTACAAAGAAGACAATAAAAATTTATGCTTGATTAAAGCTAAGCTTGCGCAAAAGAGAATTCGAAAATGGAGTATTCATTTATGAWAGGCAAGAACGGCACTTTTCAGAACAAAGGATGTTAGCTATGTATCAGTTTTATAAACAGAGACAACTTTGAAAATACACAGCCGCGTGACTGCCAATTGCGCCTTAAACAGCGGTCCGTGTGAAATGATCTATACATGTGAAGCGCCTGTGAACTCAGAGTATATCGGCGCTATATAAATACCACATATTTTAAAACGTTACACCCTTAGTTCATTTTAATAAGTGTGTACTAAAACGGGGATTTCGATCAAATATCGATTCTTATGACTTATAAATATATTGGAAAAGAGAGAGTCCTGTGGGAGGGGAGGGTAACATTACCTCAATGTGACTGTCTTGCTGGGAATAACGTTCAGAAATCCAGCTGTAATCATGAGGAAACTTCCAAGGACGAAGCCATACAGATTAACACGAGGACARTGTTGATGGCAAGCRCCTTCAGTGAGGATAGCATGGTCCTCAATCATCGATGTTTTATTCAGCAAGCGACTTACACAAGTGCAATTGGTATACCCCTTTGCAAAACAGAAGCAATAAGCCTTTTGCATTTAAYGKTCACATTTTACTAAATCCGCCATTCTGGAGGGCAAAACAATGTAAACAACCTCCAAAACAAAAGGAACATYCCAGAAGGARTTTTGCCTTCCAGTTTGGYGATTTTAGTAMCATGTGACCATTATAGYATTCATTATTAGGGAAATACTAAGCAATATAGTGATAGTTTTTTATCTTGCTCTAACCAGGCTTTAATGGTACCTCAGCTATGTCTTTAAGTACGACCTTATTTGGTATCTTGAAGTATGACTTTATTTGGTATGCTGAAACATGACTATTTCCTGGAATTTTGCCTTATTTGGTATGGTGAAATGTTGCCTTATTTGGTATGATRCAATATTGCCTTGTTGGGTCTGGAGCAGCGTTGCCTTTGGTCCTACGAAATATTGCCTTATTCGGTTTACCTTGATATTGCCTTATTTGGTAAGATGCTATATTGCCTTATTTGATAAATGTTACCTTATTAGGTATATGATGRTTGCATCCTGCAAAACATGGTGAAAAGTAGCTTTTTCCATTTGGTCCACAAAGTGGTCTGAACAGAGACGGTGAACAATAACAATCTTTGTTACAATGGTCTGTGAGTTTGACTAAGGAACTTGAACCAAATAAAATATACAAAATAATMATTARTGGKAGATGTGGGATTATCTTAAGYAAGGAATAAAAGAAATATCGCGCCAGGAAATATGAAGAAATGGACCAGAAATAAATAAAGTGCAAAGAACTAAAACCATGAAAAACTTTAGTAATTGAATAGTGCTTATTCGTACTGAACAGACCTGTCTCCTAAGACAGTCGCCATCTTGAATTTTGAGAAAATTGTGAGATGTCCAGGTGTCAAAAGCACACATTGTTATATAGAATATTACCGATTGATTCTTACTGAATGAATACTTAAAACAATAGAATTTACGATGCATATCAAAGTAAAGTTGTCCTTTGTTTAGCAGCAATGGTTTTTGTCGATTTTCTCGACTTTTAAAGCCTGTAATCGTCTGAAACGTGTAGATATTATAGCGAAAACGCTTCTGAACAATCGSCCATTTTGTTTGTTTCCATATATGGCATGGATTCGCCAAATGAAGCCTGAAACTAAAATGCACAGGGATCCCGCACGAATGACATTTAATTCTTTGATATGACGCCCGCACTGGTTAAAAGGTCTATTATGCGAGTTCCTATGTTTCCTGTTGTCTAAATTTCACACCGTATTGCGCTAGACACTCGCAATTGAATGAAATCATTCTAAACAAAAAKTTACAAAAACCTAGAATGTTATTGATCAATACCTGTTAACATAGCCATCGTCTGAGCCTGCGTATCGAGCATAATCACATCCGGGAATTAAGAAAATTGGCGCGCCCCAGATCCCTACGAGCTGTAGTAAGAAGGCCGCCTTTGCTGCTCGTCGACATGAGTCACGGGCACCAAGTTTTCTTACAATAATAGAACCTGAAATGTGAACCAATGTTACAGCGGAAATCGTTACATCGCGACTTCTTCGTTTCGAAGTATATTTTTGATTTTGTTCTTTGCTTTTATCTATAGGGGAGGAGCTTTTTGTAAATAAACTCGTTCAGTCATTGGCTTATTTGCAACAAGCTCCGMCCAAAAGTCTCAGTGAAACCTAAATCCTAACGTGCTTTTTTTGAGTATTGAAGTCGCGATGCAACGGTTTCTGCTGTAAGCGCGACCTAGACTGCTTCTTGTGCCACAATGGTAAAAAACTTGCTTTCACAAATTAAGTTCATACTAAGTGATTATTGGAAAACTTAAAAAAAAACCTTTTCCATATAAGGATAGCCTTAGTTTGATTTTCGATACAAAATATTTTCTGTATGTTGATATATTTCCATTCTATTGCAAATGCTGCTCACTTATGGCCCTGGGTCACATTGTATACCGGCAAACCTTGAGAGCTTAAAAATACATACATCGCAAAACATACAAAAAGAAAAAACCTTGCTATATTTTTTTATTATTAATTTCGAAGGCTTTTTCTTTATTTTCCAGTAAAAAAATCTAAATTACGACCGCATTGAATGCCGGCAGACAACTTCACTTTAAGAAATGACATACCTATGCAAATCCCCAACGTTGTACTCGGTAGAAGAAGGACTGTGATACCGACTCCAGCTTCAAATGGACTAGCGCCGTACCTTCCAATGAGAAACTTGAAGATAAATGGACCAATACCAAAGCCTATGATTGTGCTACAACGAAACAAGAACCAGATGTTATGGTKGCGTTAATTGACATCTATGTCGATTGATCATCGTGGAGARGATGCAGACTTGYCAGTCSCATCTCTCYCTTTCTTAACGCTATTAGTTAGTACTGATCGCGYGTAGTATTACATTCTTCGCTTTCCGTTCTCATTTTCGAGCGCGGCAATAAAGATTACGACTKGGTACGAGTCTAAATAGGAAGCATGCTTCGTGTTGTTTAATTGTAACTGTAACTAACCCGCTTAGAAAAGCGAAGTTCTGGAACATATAAGTCCAGTTAGTTAGCAATGCCTTGAAGTGGGGCCAAAAATTCTTAAAACCACTTGTTGCTATCTTGTCCTTTTTAATAAAGCCTTTGGCAAGAGCTTCTTTGCGCATGGCATCCGAACCAGGCAGTTTACGAGGAAAACCCAACAAAATTATACCATCAAGAATAAGAATAATGCCACAAGCGGTTGGTCCAAGCCACCAAGCTCCGATCCAACCATAATCCTTTGGGGTCAAATTTAAACCAGCAGGCTGAAAAGAAATAAAAAGGAAGCGATGTTAACAAAAGTATATACATTACTATATCAGCCATTACATGACATTACCATGACAAAGTCAACATAAATTGACAATAGTTGTCCCCCAATGATAGAACCCATTCCCGGACCAAGCAGCGAGGAGAGGTAAAAGAACCCCAGGTACGCAGACATGTGTTTTGGATGTACATTTTCGTCCAGGTAGGCTGGTCCTAGTGAGAAGAGTGGTGTGGAACCGGCCCCTGCTAATAGCTGAGCAAGGACGAACATGAAGAAGTTGAAATTGAAGTCGTTTGCATCACTATTAGTACAGTCTATGTTGCTGAGTGTTGCGTTACTAGCTTTGCACAGAGTCGTGCTTGCTGAAGACACTAAAGTAAAGTTGAAAGAAAGATAAGCTGCTAGATATCATTTCATAATGGAAATAAATTAGTCAAATTACGTTTTTCTACTTAAGCAATCAGTGAATGCCTGAAGCAAACGTTTATACGACTGTTCGCCGTCAGGGGGGTGAGTTTGGGTGCACGTTCGGSAGGGCGTCACCCAAGCAGCTGCTCCACAACCACACCCCATTTTCTTCAAACTTGTTTTTGTTCGATAAGCAATTGTCTGATTTGTCTCCAATATTGTGTTGTTCACATTTGCACTCGCATCGCGTGCCAGTGACCATAGCTGTCAGAGGAAACGCGCGCAAATTAAAAAACAAAAATACAAAATGACATACTGCGGATGTATTTGTAAAAAATGGACAGAATCCTCATTCAGACAATAATAAAATCATAGCTCTCTTTTTTATCCTCCGTTCATAACTACAATACATAGATACATAGAGTWTATTATATCCCAAAGACTGAGTGACTTACGTAATGTAGGATTATATTTCCCAACAATAAGCTTAGGGAAAGCAAAAACCAAAGCCGATACTCCAGTTAGTATGCCTCCGTAGCCAAGCCATTTGGTCTTGTGTCCATACCCGCCAAAAAATCCAACAAAGAGAGTTAGAATAACAGCAGGGATATCATTGGCTGCAACGATGAATCCTGTCTGCTTGCTGGAAAGMTTGAAGCGCTTTTCAAGAGTAGGTAGAGAGAGGTTAATGAAGGTATTGACAGCCATACCTGTGAAATACAAAAATTCGTTCACTGTGAATACGTTCTACTCAGTGAGATTTTTGTGCGAAGTAAAAATTAGCCGCCAGAGACGGCTCGTCTAAATTAAGATTTTAACAACACAGGAAGAACTAAATGGCGAAAGGAGGCTACGCTACGTGGATTTTATACAAATGCCAAAGAAAAAAAGATCAATCGGACCAAAATGACAGATCATTTGTTGGTTCCTATAAATTTGCGCGAAATTTCATCACTGCCACTCCCATCACCCCACGATGCAACCCCTTTTTAAGGTCGTTTTTTAGAATTTTCGAGAAGGATCGACCACAGCCTCCTTTTATATTGGAGTTTTCACCGGCAATGCTCATACTGTTAAGTTCAGAATTCTGTCTTTCATACTTGTATTTTTATCACAAACGCCTCAAAAATTTACCCCTGAGGGTTCGAACGAGTTATTCGTCCAGAAGAACTGCATTTTTGACAGTAACTCAAGACGTTACCCCTGTTGATTCAACCTTGCTAAGTGCACAACCTTGTCCTCGAACTCCGYAAAAACACTGAAACCGAAACAGGTTTGACTGACAGTGATCCGGCATGACCGATTTGATTTCTCAATATAGTCATTGAGCGGCGGCTACACAAACGAATTTTCGATCGATTGCACAGGCACGCGATTTTCGGGTACGATGAAAGCTGAACATCGAATTTGAGCTGTTTTTGTACATATTCCTCTCTAATGKGATTAAAATAAGTATTTGTGAGGATTTTTTTAGTCGGCAATGCGTTGTCGCTCGTGTAGCCAAATCATGCACTGGTGATTTTCAGAAAATYGCGTCTACTGCGCAAGCGAAAAATCGTGGAAATTCCGCGGCTTTACCTTGAAGAGTAGAAAAACAGCAAATGAAAAATAAACACCATTTGGGCGAGTTTAGCCATTGTAACCACTTTGGTTTAAAGGTGTTCCATCCCCAAGCAAGTGTCAGGTCGTCAGAGAATACTTTGTCGTCCTTGGCCACATCTTCCAGAGATATGTCCTCATTGTCGATAAAATTTGTGGTGCTTGAAGAACTTGGGATCGCTTTGCGTGTTTTCGACATCTGGAATATAAATGCATTAGTGTTGTGAAGCTACAACCTTATATTTCAGCCCCACCCCTCCCGGCCCCCTAGTGAAAGAGAGCTTGTCGTAAAGTCTGGTATTTTATGATGTAATAGAACGGATCAGTTGGGTCAAGTCAGTACAAATATAGATTGCACAACTRTGCCCTTAYGCGTTGATACTGACAACTTCACATCTGAAATTTACCGTGRAAAGCCTGAACCTTCATGGTYCTGGTAACTGGTTCGGTGCCCGTATACAAGGTTCGGACTTTTTTCTTGGGTACCAGGGTAATGCTCGAAGTTTTGTTTGAGCACCARAAAAACGCCGAAAGGACCCCGGGCACCGTGCTTGGGCACCAAGTATAAGAAGTGCCGCGAGTTTGTTTACCTTTTCTTATTGCATGTCCTTGATTTTGTTTTTTACGYGGCTAGCTAGTGTTTCCTGCGGTTTCAGATAACCTGAATACAATCCGTCTGATGCTCAGGTTACAGTGTTGACAAAACGAACAGCATCAACAAACAACAGCGTCTGGTTTAGATAACGATTCAAAAACATCTTCCATGTCAACACCGATAAGTTATCATTCCCCCCAAAAATCTAAATAAAACTAGATTAGATTTTGGATTGATTGAGGATTGTAGATTGGGACTGTGTTGTAACGTATTCCCTTTTTAAAGTCATCAAACTCTTATTACTACACTATATAAACTAACCTACAAGCTGCTAAACAAATAATCCAGCGCTTTTAATTAAATCACATAGCAATAACAGGCTTTTCGCAAACCTATTATCAAGCTTTAGCTACATATTCTATGTGTTATTAAAACTAAGTTTTAAGAATGTATCTTGTACCTAAGAAAAGTTTGTTAAATATTTGGTTATATAAAGAGCTAGAGTTTACCAACTTTGGTAGAGTCCCTACTATTTCAAGCTAGCACCAAATAATACCAGTTCCAAATTGCCTCCTTCATTGCATGAATAATTCAAAGATAATCATTTCAAGTTTTAAAGTTTCCAGAGCGTTTACCATGTGATCGGAGCATTTACAAAAGGCACACAATGCGCAGTGTGAATTTTCTTAGTCTTACATGAAACCGCCAAAGTTAAAACACTGATTTGTTAATCTTTGAGGCTAGAGTAGAATGCAAARGCAATACAAGTGCGTCTCTGTAGCTCCTGAACCATATTACAAGCAATTTTTTATATGCACAACGGAGACGCTCAGGTCAAAGTAACCTTCAGTCGTCCTTATTATCGACACTGTCAAAATTTCAACAGTTTCTAAGACATTCTGAAATTTTGAGACAATGCAAATGGCGATTTCAAGTATAGCATTTTACAAACAGCGCTATTTCTAGTATAATGAGGATTTTAGGGTCATATACTCAGTGTTAAGTGCTATTTCAAATCTTACCTGTAAACTCGTTGCCATCCAATCTACTTAAGCCCAGCTTGACGTTTTCAACAGTTCAGTTTGTACCCGGCTTATAATAAATTGGGAATGCTGTGTCAGGCAAGGTCACTCTTTCTTTGTAGAGACATTCCAGTGTTTCTATTCTTTTCGTATCCATAACAATGAAATGCTTTGATATGATTTCCTCAGTAGCAAATGGCAAGCGATATTCACTGCTATACCAGATAAGAAGGTTATTAAGACTGCCTCGCATTACTAGAAATTGTTGTAAGAAAACTTGTTATTAACTTGTTATTATATATATCTTTACTGGTTTCCCTGTGCTATATCTGATTGAATTCATTTATTTTTTAGCAAATAAAGAAATCAAAGAAATAGAGGATATTACATGGGCGCGCGGAGATACGGATTTTATCTTCGAGTGTTGAAAATATCTCTCACGAATGAGCGTAGCGAAGTTAAAATTATAAGATTTTTCAAGAAAAATAAACTGTATTCAAATATCATTTACTTAAAATTCTATATATTTGTAAAGTAAATCTAATTTAATTCGTTGTATTGTTCAGTCACAAAGGAAACATGAGGAAGACTAGCCGATCCGACTAATTCGTTTAGAAAATCATTTTACGTATGTTTTATTTCTACAATTCAAAAAATGTATTCGCTCGCTACCGTACTATTACATTGTAATATTTCATATATAGTTTATTGTGTGGTTAGATATCGATAATACTATTTAGAGCCACTACGAAACTGGAAAACACTAGTATCGTCATTAAAAACAATGGTGCCGTACAGTTGGTCGGGACTCAATTGAACCAACTTTCAGCTGTTTAATTCACCGTTACGGAGTAAGCATTCTTAAAAGAATTTCTGGTAAAAGTAATTTAAGAAAAAAAATATGTCATCCCTTGCGAATCGAACCGCGGCCACTTGGTCAGGACGACTATTCCTAATTACTGAGCTACGATGGCAATTTCGATATAATCGTGGCTACAACTGGCATTTATTTCGCCGTCACTGGCCGTGCTTATCCACAACCGAAGTTAGAATAATAGGATTTTAGCGAAAAAAAATTCATAAATCGTTTACTTAAAATTATAATTTGATTCATCGTACATGTATCGTTCCGTATCAATCTTCGAGTTATGTTTCCATTGGCGGCTTGATTTTGTAATACCTCTTCTTGTTATCAGTGAAATTATC